AGTTGCCTATTCATTTTTTATATTTTCGTTTTGTTTACTGTTGTTGTTGTGGTTGTTAAATTCATAAATATATTTAATTCCCTTTTTATGGTTTGTTATCATTATTGCAATTCTTGAAGAAGAAAAGCGGATATGTTATTTTTTATAATTTATTCTTTTTATTATCGATGAGTATCTTTTTTTCATTTCATTAGTTTAGTTGTAGAATCATTGCAAAATTACAATATTGATTTAGAATTTTGTAGACTTTTAACCCATTGCCGACGGGCATGGCATGTACGTATATGTCATGCCAACTGTGAGTTTACTTGTTTAATTGTTTTTTTTACACATAGATGGCTACACTTGTACTAAGTCACCAATGAGCCAGTTATGAGTACTTTTCAGTGATTTACGAATTACTTTACGTTATCTTATTTTGCTGTTACTAATATTTATAACATTATAGTAATTAGAATATGTTTATAATAAAAATAACACCATCGATATTTATAGCACTAGTAAAAAAAATACGTTTTTCTCGCCAATTCAAGGAAAGGTGAAATCAGGTAAAGTCTCAAGATCTACTAATTGACTCCTTTGTGGCTAAGCACCAGCAGAGCCATCTATGTGCAGAGACATTTCACAAAACTATTAAAATCACAAAACAAATTCCCATTTATTATTCATTTCCCTCGGCGGCAATGGGTTAATTGGGTTGTTAAAAAGATGTTTAAACAAAAGGTTGTAATTTTAATGTCTTTAAGAATCCATGGGGAAAATAAGCTCTTTTTTTTCTTTTTTATTATTATTTATTCACTTTTCTTCTTATGATAATTATTTTCCCATCAAAAGATCCTCTAATGGGCATGATGAAAGGATATAACTAAAAATTAATTGGGCATTGAGGTACTGGGAAACAGTTGTTAGCCAAATGTGTTTTAGGTCATTTAGACATGTTTTAAGTATTATAAGGCACTTTAAGCATTTTTATTTTTGTAAAACAACACGTAGATACCTTTGACTTGCTTGAAAAGTTACGGTTAAAGATTGAAAAAAGTGATATATATGCACACAGTAGAAGAAACCAGAGTGATAAAATGATATCAAAATAAAAAACAGAACTAAAGTAAAAAGAATATACTCTGAACAACTGTGAACAAACAAGGCATATCAAAGGCATCTGCGTGCTTGTGCAATGTTTGTGTTCTCTGTTCATTCATCCGTGTCCGTGTGATTTGACCTCGTTTCTTCTTGGGCGCCATGTCCACCAGTCTGGTTGGGGATACCGCTCTGGCTACCAGGTAAGGCAACCTGACTACCTGCTCCCACTCGGCGTTGGCACTCCCTACAGGTAGTGCCAAGCCTGCCACTCGTCTTACACACTTGTCTTCCCCCCTTCCCCTTTTGGCACTCTTTTGTTAGATATGGAATAGATACGGGGTAGATAGTAAGGTTGTTGTTAATTGTGTGATTTAGATGATGTTTTAAAGAGTAGTGTTATGTTAAAGGAATCTTGATTTGGTTAGGTATGAGGCGTTGTATTAGGGCAGTGAGGGTAGATTTGATTATCTTTTTAAAGTTAGTATCTGGGGATGACATGGCATACACAGTTACAAATACAAATTGCACAAAAAAACAAACAAACAAATACAAGCGATGTATCTGACGCGTTTCGATTAAATGGATCATTACTTTTGATGATTTAATTGTTACGATTCAATTATATCTCTTGCTTGTGTAAAGGTATTCATTCCCGTCCATACCTTTTACTACAATAGAAAAAAAAACCACTTAACACACGCTCAAACACACCTAAACACACATACAAGCATACTTCGAACAACACACTTTTATCACGCATTCATCCACACATTCAATGATATAATTAGAACTTAATAGGAAAAAAACATGAAGGCGAGTGGCCACCTTGATTTCTAATTGCATGACCTCATATACTTAATAGTAAGTAGCTTAACGATACTTGGAACAGTGTAGTTTATGACGTAATCTATAAGCATGAGAAGGGTAGTAGTTAATGGCACGCAGAATATATTTAGTTAAGATAAACAGTTTTATTCCTACTTAAAGTGTCCAGTAGGTCTTCAAAGTCTCTGAAATGATTTGCCAACAAGTATTTATATTGATCTAAATTGGGTTATTTTTTCATATGTATATACATATATAATTTCCTCGATAGGTAATGAAGTAAAACCCTGTAGCTTCTTTGTGTTTCCATCAGGACTAGTTAAATAGCCTTAACACTAGGGAAGTTTACGGGACTGTGAACACAAAATTCCCGTCAGGTAATTTAAAACTCCCATCAATATATCTCTACCCCGATCCCTTCACCCCCCCCCCATCCCCCCCTCCAACAACAACAAAAAAATAAAGAGAGAGAAAAAAAGAAACATCGCCATCTCCCCCCCCCCCAAAAAAAAAAAAAAAATAGAAAGAAAATTGAAGAAGATATTTTTCTATATGTTTCTAACTAGGAGAGGAAGTAGAGATAGAATAACAACCTTTATCTCAAAAGGAGAGAAAAGTAGAAATTAGAAAAAAAACTACGATTTCCTTCCACAAAAAGGAAAGATAGTTACAAATAAGAATAAGCTCCTTCCTTCACCTTAAAAAAAAAAAAAAATACAGGTTTCCTTCCTTTACCCATAAAAGAAAGAAAGAAAGAAAAAAGCACCCGTTTCCCTCCTTCGCCCCACAAAACGAACAAACAAACACGTGTTTTCTTCCACCTAAAAAAAAGAAGAAAGATAGACAGATAGAGAAAAAAAAAACACCCGTTTCCTTCCTACAAAAAATGATACAAAAAAAACGGGTTTCCTTCCTTCACCTATCCCCCCCCCACTCACTTCCCCCCCTCAAAAAAAAAAAAACGTTTTTCCATGCCCCCCTTAGTCACCTCGCACCTAGCTGGCCGTGGCGTTGCGTGTAGGTGAGCCACGAGTCCAGTGAAGTGACGATCTCTAACTTGGACTCAGCCGCAGGTGGAGGGACTAGAGACCGACGTCCTCTTCGGGGGGAACGCAGGCGAGCCGGGGCCCCCAGGAGCTAAAGGGCCAGTGGGCGACGTAGGCCCCCGAGGACCCCGCGGACACCAAGGCCTCAAGGGCGAGAGAGGCATGAAGGGAAGCAAAGGCCAGAAGGGAGAGGAGGTGAGTTTTCATGGCCGCCTTCGGTTGGGTTCGGAGTTTGCTGTTGAGTTGTAAATGTCATTTTTTTGTTGATTTTGTTTAGGATTTACTGGGCTTTTTTCATTAGGATTATTTCTGTGGATTTGGAGTGTTATGTGTAATCAGATTACTGGATTTTCAGTGTGGTAAAAAAAGAGATAGAGTTACAGTCAAAGAAGAGCAAGTTGAAATATTCTTGCTCTCGATATTCTCGATGATTTCATTGAATTCCTGATTACTCTGCATGATAAGATCTTCATGATACACACACACACACACACACACACACACACACACACACACACACACACACACACACACACACACACACACACACACACACACACACACACAAACACACACATAAACACACACACACATTTCATATACCTCACCCCACACACGCATCCCCTCCCCTCGCCTCCAAAACACACGCAATACGCAGTGATCACAAACCACCTTGCAATACCCTGCACCTAACTACAGGGACCCCAAGGACCCGTAGGACGTCTAGGGGACAAGGGAACACGAGGACCCCCTGGCGTCGATGGGCTGCCAGGGACCCCAGGACACAAGGGCCAAAAAGGTTAGAAAAAATTAGTGATTTTTTTTTCTTTTACAAAATTAGCAGCTATGCCATTCTCCCTAGTTACAATGACCTCCCTTCAGGAAACCAAACAAAGCAGAAAGAAATAAAGAAAAAAAGAAATAAAGGAAAAAAAAAATACTGATTATTATCATACTCATAGAAAGACAGCGTTTAGGAAACCAAGATATAATTTTTTTTCTTTCTCTCTCTTATAAGATGAACCCTTCAGGATCCCAAACAAGACAATTAATTCTATTTCTCTCTCTCTCTTTATTTACAATGACCCCTCCCCCCCTTCAGGAGACCAAGGACCCCCCGGCATAGGACGCAAAGGACCCCCAGGAACGCCAGGAGAGAAAGGAAGTCCATTTTACTCAACGGAATACGTGAGGAACATCGTACTGACGTCACTACAGCAATACGTGGACATCAACCCCGCCAACAGAGAAAATTTGAGAGAGAGTGAGTGTTTGAGTGGAGGGAGAAGTGGGAGGGAGAAAGGAAGAGAAGGAAGGGGGAGAGGGAGGGGAGGAATGGAGAGAAATGAGGAAAGGGGGAGAACGGGAGAGAGGGAGGAAGAAGTGGGAGGGAGAAAGGAAGAGAAGGAAGGGGGAGGGAGGGAGGAGTGAAGAGAAGGAGGAGAGAAGGAGGGAGGGAGGAATGGAGAGAAGGAGGAGGGAAGGAGGGAGGGAGGAATGGAGAAAAGAAGGAGGGAAGGAGGGAGGAAGGAATGGAGAGAAGGAGGAGGGAAGGAGGGAGGGAGGAAGAAAGGAGGAAACGTTTCAGGATAGGTAAGGAAGAGGAAGAGATGAAAGAAGGAAGAATGGAACAAGAAGAATAAGTGAAGAGGGAAGAAATGAATATCTGGATAGGAAGAGGCGGAAGAAAGAGGGAAAGAGGAAGAGACGGAGGAGGGAGAAAAAAAAGTATAATGAGAGACAGCGAGGAGAGAAAAGTTAGCGAAAGGGAGAAGGTGTAGGAAAAAGGGAGAGAGCGAAATAAAAAAAGAGAGAGAAAAGGACAATATTAATTAGAGACATAAACACAAGGCAGAGAAAGTACGTTCGTGGATGAGAGAGGAGGGATAAAAAAAAAGGGAAGAAGTATGATAGGAGAAAGGAAAAAAAGCGAGAGTGAGGGGGAGAAAAAAGGAGATAGGATGGGTTGATAAGCAAACAGCCTAGAGGGACATCGTGCTTTCAAGTGATTCGCTGCCAGTGAGAATGAGAGAAAGTTAGTTCTTACGTAGAAGAGAAAGAAGGATAGAGGAAAGAGAAAGGGAAGAGAGGGAAGGAAGAAGGTGGGAGAGAAGGAAGAGAGGGAAGGAGGGAGGTGAGAGAAAGGATAGAGGAAAGAGAAAGGGAAGAGAGGGAAGGAAGAAGGTGGGAGAGAAGGAAGAGAGGGAAGGAGGGAGGTGAGAGAAAGAAGGATAGAGGAAAGAGAAAGGGAAGAGAGGGAAGGAAAAAGGTGGGAGAGAAGGAAGAGAGGGAAGGAGGGAGGTGAGAGAAAGGATAGAGGAAAGAGAAAGGGGAGAGAGGGAAGGAAAAAGGTGGGAGAGAAGGAAGAGAGGGAAGGAGGGAGGTGAGAGAAAGAAGGATAGAGGAAAGAGAAAGGGAAGAGAGGGAAGGAGGAAGGTGGGAGAGAAGGAAGAGAGGGAAGGAGGGAGGTGAGAGAAAGAAGGATAGAGGAAAGAGAAAGGGAAGAGAGGGAAGGAAGAAGGTGGGAGAGAGAGAAGAGAGAGAAGAGAGGGGACGAGGAAGGTGGAACAGAGATATAGGTTGGTGATAGATAGTAGGTAGATAGATATGCAAATAGAAAGATAATAGAAAGGCGGGAAGAGAGAGAAACGCATAGAAAAAAAAAAATAATGGTAATTAAGAATAATATTAATAATTGATATTGACAATAATAATGGTACTATTAATACTAATAATGAAAATAATGGTAAAGTAGTAATGATAGTAACAATAATGATAGTAGTAACAATAATAATGATAATGATAACAGTAATAATGACAATATGGTAGTAGTGGCAATGAAAACAAGAGTAATAATGACAATAGTTATATTAGTAATGAGGGTAGTAGATATAATGATAATAACAGGAATAATAACAATAGTAATAGTAGTAATGATAACAATAAGAATCATAACAGCAATAATAGTAATAGTAGAAATTATGATAACAACAACAATGACAATAGTAATAGTAGCAATGATAATAATAGCAATAAGAGTAATAGTAATAGTAGCAATGATAATAATAGCAGTAAGAGTAATAGTAATAGTAGCAATGATAATAATAACAATAAGAGTAATAGTAATAGTAGCAATGATAATAATAGCAGTAAGAGTAATAGTAATAGTAGCAATGATAATAATAGCAGTAAGAGTAATAGTAATAGTAGCAATGATAATAATAACAATAAGAGTAATAGTAATAGTAGCAATGATAATAATAACAATAAGAGTAATAGTAATAGTAGCAATGATAATAATAACAATAAGAGTAATAGTAATAGTAGCAATGATAATAATAGCAGTAAGAGTAATAGTAATAGTAACAATGATAAAAATAGCAACAAGAGTAATAGTAATAATCGTAATTATAATAATAACAATGAAAGTAATAATAATAGTCGTAATTATAATAATAACAGTAATAAAGCTAAAAAATCCTCACTCCTTTTCCCCGCAGTCGCCGAGCGCATCGAAGTCATCCTCCCGAAGGGCAAAGACGGCATGCCAGGGGCGCCAGGACCCATGGGACCTAAGGGCGAGGAAGGGCGCATAGGCCCCGTAGGACCCCCAGGGCACCCCGGTCACCCAGGACCTATTGTAAGTGGGGGGGGGAAGGGAGAGGGGACGGAGGGGGGTGGTTAAGATACTGGGGTATAATGTTATATTTGCTGTGTTTGGTTATATATGTTTTGTTTGTATGTCGGGTTTTTATGTGTGCGGGTGTGTGTGCGTATAAGTGCACACACGTATATATGCACACACTCGCACGTGTACTCGTGTAGCTCTTGTCCGTGCCTTTAAATAACAATAACATCTTTCTTCCTTTTCCTTTCCTTCATTTCCTTCTTTCTCTTTCTTTTCTTCTCTTATTTTTTAATTCTTTCTCTTGTTTCATCTTCTCTCTGTTATTTCCTTCTCCCCCTCCCCTTTTGCCTTTCCATCTTCTCCACTCTGTCCTTCATTCTCTTCTTCTCCCGTTTCCCCTTTCCTTCCTGTTCTTCTTCTCCTTTCCTGTTTCCTTCCTTCTCCTCCTCCCCCTTTCCCATCCTTCCTCCTCCTTCTCCTTCTTCCTTTCCTCTCCCCATTCCCCCTTCCTTCTCCCTCACCCCTTTCTATTTCCTTCCTTCGTCTCCTCTCTTCTTCATCCTCTTCATCACCTCTTTCTCCATTCCTCCTCCTCTTACCCTTTACCCTTCCTTCCTTCTCCTCCCTCTCGCCTTCCCCCTTTCTTCGTTCCCTTCCTCTTCCTTTCCTCCCTTTTCTTTTCTTTTTTTCTCCACCACTTTAACCTTCCCTATCCTCCTCCCTTTTCCTGCCCTTCCACCTCCCCTTCTATCTTTTCCTCCTCTTCTACTCTTCTTCCTATCCCTTTCGTCCTTCCTCCCTTCACCTCCTCCCCCTCCCCCCCTTCCTCTCATCCTACCTTCTCCTCCCTTCCTGTTCTTCCCTTTTCTCCTCACCCTTCCCTTCCCCATTTCCTGCTTGTTCCTCCTCTTCCCCTTTCTCTTCCTTTCCCCTTCTTTCCCCCTCCTCCCCTTTCTCTTCCTTTCCCCTCTCCCTTCCCCCTTCTTTCCCCCTCCTCCCCTTTCTCTTCCTTTCCACTCTCCCTTCCCTTTCTTTCCTCCTCCTCCTCCCTTTTCCCATTCCCCCTTCCGTCTCCTCCTCCCCTATTCTCCTTCCTTTCTTCTCATCCCATTCCCCTTCCTTCCATCTCCTCCTCCCCTTTCCCCCTCCCCCCTCTCCTTCCTCCCTTCCCCCTTCCTTCTTCCTCTCCTTCCCCTCCCCCCTTTCCCCCTTTCCTCCTTCTCCCCTCCCCTTCTCCCTCTACTTTCCCCCTCCCCCTCCCCTCTTCATCCCCTCCCTCCCTTCCCCCCTTCCTTCTCCTCCCCAGGGCGAGTCAGGAGAAGACGGCCCTGCAGGACCCCGAGGCAACCCAGGGCCGAAAGGAGAACCCGGATCGCCAGGCCCTGTTATTCTCAGCAACGGAACTGTTATCGAAGTCAAGGTGAGGAGAATTCCCGTTGGTTTGATAAAGAAATGGATTCCTGTTGGTTTGGGAAAAAAAAAAAATGAATTCCTGTTGGGTTGGGAAAAAAAAATCACGTTGGTTTGGGGAAAAAAATGAATTCCTGTTGGTTTGGGAAAAAAATCCCGTTGGTTTTCAAAAGAAAAGGAGGAATGAATAAGAATGATTTGATTAAAAAGAAGAAAAAATCAATCATTCATTCATTCACATTCACCCCCCCCCCCGCCTCCCAACTATCCATCATTCCCCCTTACCCCTTATCCCTCCCTTAGGGTCAGAAGGGAGACCGAGGCATGGACGGGCAGGCGGGCAAGCGAGGCGCCCCAGGGCTGCCCGGGCCCCCTGGCCTCCCCGGACCCCCAGGGCACCAGATCGCGGCAGGTGAGGAGCCTTGTTAGCGTTTAATTACCTTGTTAGCGCTTAATTACTTTGTTAGCGCTTAATTGCCCTGTTAGCGCTTAATTACCTTGTTAGCGATTAATTGCCTTGTTAGCGCTTAATTGCCTTGTTAGCGATTAATTGCCTTGTTAGCGCTTAATTGCCTTGTTAGCGATTAATTGCCTTGTTAGCAGAGGTAGTTAGTAATGTTCTTTGTAGCGTACAGAAGTAGGTTTTAGTTATTATTTTGTTAGGTGTAGTGCTTAACTTGTTAGGAGTAGGTAGTGATGTTGTTAGTAGTGTAGTAGTAGTTGTAGTAGTAGTAGTTAGTAGTTTGCAGTATTGTTATGTTAGCTGCATTGTTGTTAGTAATATTGTTAATAGAATTGTTGATAGTAGTCGATATAGTGCTGTTGGAGTAGGTAACCGTAGTCTTTGTGGCATTGTTGTTAATTGCAGCGGTTAGTAACACTGTTATTAGTAAATATTAGTAATGGAATAGCAATACCAACAGTTTCAACAGATAAGCCATGAAAATAATTACAATAACGATCCACTAACAACTACAACAAGCAACCATAACAACTTCAGCAATAAACACTATAACAACTACAATAACTTCCACTATTGCATTTACAACAACAACAACAACTTCCAGGACCTTTCGACGGAGCACGGGACACGACCTACAACTATGACGTCACAGGCATCAAGGGAGAGAAGGGGGAGCGAGGACCCCCCGGCCCCCCCGGTCCCGGCGTCGGGGCCATGGGCAGGGGAGCCACGTACAGCTATGGCGGCGTTTATGGTGTTGTGGTGAGTTGAGGGCGATGGTGGGTGGTGGTGGCGCTTATGGTGTTGTGGTGAAGTGAGGGTGAATGTAGGTGATGGTGGGTGATGGTGGCGCTTATGGTGTTGTGAAGTGAGGGTTATGGTCGCGTTTAAGGTGCTGTGATGAAGTGAGGGCGATGGTGGGGTATGGTGGTGCTTATGATGTGGTGAAGTGAGGGCGATGGTAGGTGATGGTGGCGTTTATGGTGTTGTGATGAAGTGAGGGCGAATGTGGTGATGGGGGCGCTTATGGTGTTGTGGTGAAGTGAGGGCGAACGTGGGTGATGGTGGGTGATTGTAATTTTATAGTGTGATGGGTGAGGTGTAATGGAGACTGGTGAGTGGATGTTGATGGTGACTCTTATAGTGTAGTAGTGCGATAAGGTGGATGTGACTGGTAACTGGGTACTGATAGTGACTTATGGTGTGGTGGTAAGTAGGCGATGATAGATGATGGTGGTCTTACAGTGTGATGGATGAGGTGAGATGTAATAGTGACGTGAGTGTGTGTTGATGGTGACTTATGGTGCTGTGATGAGTAGATTGTGATGATGAATTTAATGAAACTAGGTGCTTGTGATTTTTTTAATGGGCATTGATAATTGTGTAGTAATGAGTAGATAGGCACGTTATTATTTATGGTGTCATGGTGAGATAAACCGACTGATAACTGGTATGGTGACTGTTTATGGTGAATGAGGGTGATGGCTTCGATAATTATTGTACTGGGAGACTGTATAATTATTATTCTGATGGTGAACAATTTTTGAATATTTTTTTCCCCTGTTGTTATTTTTAATTGGATCTTTTCTCCCTTCCCTTCCTTTCACTTCCTAATTCTCTGTTACTCTTCATATCTCATATACAAAAAAATAATATTCGTTTTCCTTTTATTCTTCCATATTTTTTTCAATTAAATTTTCTTCCTCTATTTTGTTATTTCGGTTGATTCCTTTACATTTTCCTCTTCCTCTCCTATTCCTCCTCCCTTTCTTCTTTCATCTTCTCGCCCTTCCTCCTTCATTTTTTATGTCCTTCCCTCTTCCTCCTTTTATTTCCTCACCCTTCTTCCAACCTTCTTTCTTTTTATTCATTTCCTCACTCTTCCTTCTTCGTTTTCTCATCTTCTCAACCCTTCCTTCCTCCTTTCATCTCCACACTCTTCTTCCTTCTTTCATTTTTTTCTCTCCTTCCTTTCACCTTTTTTCATTTGTTTTTCATTATCTCTCCTTCACTTCATCTTCCTCCCTTCCTTCCTTAAAAAAATCTCCCCTTTCCTTCCTCCTATCATTTTTTTCTCCCCCTTCCTTCCTCCTTCTTTCATCCTCTCCTCCTCCCTTCCTCCTTTCATCATCTCCCCCTCCCTCCTTTCATCCTCTTCCCCTCCCTTTCCCCGCCCCCTCTCCACCCCTCCCTCTCCTTCCTCCCCCCACCCCTCCCCCTCCTTCCTCCCTCCACCCTCCCCCTCCTTCCTCCCTCCCCCTTCCCCTCCTTCCTCCCCCCACCCCTCCCCCTCCTTCCTCCCTCCACCCCTTCCCTCCACCCCCTCCTAGGCCCGCCCACGCCCACGCCCTGGCCAGAGCCGATTCGACCTCGAGGAAAACATGGGCGGCTCCGGTTCTATGGGACCCCCCGGCCCCCCCGGACCCCCAGGCCCCCCAGGCCCCCCAGGACCCGCAGGACCCGAAGGCCCCCCCGGCCCCCCCGGCATCCCCACCCCGACGGCGGAGAAGACGGAGTACATCCCCGTGCCCGGACCCATCGGCCCCCCCGTGAGTAGGCCCGGGGGGGATGCTGATTTTAATGATGACTCTGTTTTGTCTATTTTTAATTATGACTCTAATTTCTACTTAATTATGACTCTATTTTCTCTATTTCTCTATTTTTGATTAGGACTCTATTTTCTCTATTTCTCTATTTTTAATTATGACTCTAATTTCTACTTAATTATGACTCTATTTTCTCTATTTCTCTATTTTTGATTAGGACTCTATTTTCTCTATTTTTCTATTTTTAATTTCTATTTAGTTATGACTCTAGTTCTACTTATAACTTTTTCATTCCCAGAACTATCGGCCTTGGGAGATTCAAATGCATAAACTTTAATTCAAAGTCTAAGTCTAATGCTAAATTAAGATCGGAATTAAGATCGGAAACAAATTCAAAATGCCTTATTGTAGTTCCCGGACCCATTGTAAGCCCAGGGAAATGCAACAAGAAGTTCAAAATCAAAATTAAAAATTAAATTAAAAATACTTCGTTCCAATTCCCGAACGATAGGCCTAGGGAAATTCAAACAAATTCATCTTCAAAATGTTATATTCGATAAGTTCCCTTCCCTTCCAGTGGTCACCCTTTTTAACATTTAAAAAAGACGTGAAATAGACATTGAATTAATGTTAGTCTATTCAAGTCATGTCAATCTTATATTTAGTAATCTAATATACGTTTATATACTCTCTATTTGTATTTAAAAAATGGAGAAAGTGTATAAATATTTTTATAATACTGTCTTGATAAGGTTACTGATTGGATTGATTAGTATAAATTTGAATTGATATGAATGTTATAAATGTAATTAGTATATGTAGTAAATGTAATTAGTATATGTAGTAAATGTAATTAATATATGTAGTAAATGCAATTAATGTAAATATGAATGAATGTATTATATAAATTCATTTGTTTAGGAGCGTTAGGTACGAATGTACTTATGAGGGAGACTTGTTTACTAGGGAGCCTGTGTATAAGAAAATGATAACTTAAGCATGTAAATAAGTATCGATTCATTCTTAATCCATTCTTGATTATTGTTAAGACGTGAATGAGTACTGAGTCATTCTTAATTATCCTTAAGCACGTGAATAAGAATTGAGTCATTCTTAATTCATTCTTAAGCACGTAAATACGCATTGATTCATTCACAATTCATTCGTATTCATTCTCCTTCACGATTTCTTCTCAGGGTCCACGTGGTCCGCCCGGGATACCAGGTTCTCCGGCTTTCCTTCCTAAGAAATACGGCTTCGGTAAGCATGGGTGTGCGTCGTCGAGAGGGGGGGAGGGGGAGGGAGGAAGGGAGGGAGCGAGGGAGAGGGGGAGGGGGTGGAGAGTGGGAGGAAGAGGGTGGAGAGGGAGGGGAAGGGAAGGGAAAGGGAGGTGGGTAGGGAGTGGGTGGGAGGGAGGGGAAGGGAAGGGAAAGGGAGGTGAGTGGGGAGTGGGAGGGAGGGAGGGGAAAGGGAGGTGGGTGGGGAGTGGGAGGGAGGGA